TAAAAAAAATGGGGGGGGGCGGTCCTCCGTATCTCACAACAAGCATAGGCATGTCATTATTACCCAAGGGACCATGATGTATATGAAATGTGAGGATGGGGAGGGGAGAGGAGACGAAGCACCCAGGAACGAGCCCGAGGGGCGTTGGGATAACCCAACTCTTATAACCTAATGAATTGGTCTCATTTCCGGAGCAATTTCTGACCTTGACCCAAAGGTCGATTCTAAAAAAAGAATCAAAACAGTCCTTGTTTCTGCTAGACTTGGACCTGGTCGTTGTGTGAGTGAGCTCCAGCGGTTTCATCCATCATCTACGCGTCTAGTGTTCCACTGGCAGCATGATCAACCACACACCACTTTCGGAATGCGTAAGTTAATATTTGGGGGTCAGCGTTTAACATGATGTGTACAATGTAATTATATTTTATAGATAACAACAATAACAAAGAAGTACTTGAAACCGAGATGACGGAGTTGTAGCTCGCATGAGGCTGAATAAACTGAATTCTTTTGGGCTGGAACTTCTAAAAAGCAGCAGGGAACGGAATATATTAAATTTAATATCTTGCACTGAATTTCTCATCTGTGATTATCTTGCTGTGCCGTATATATATGCCACACAGATCTCTTATTCTGTTTCTCCACTCAGTTATAATGTTATATCTTGCTGTGCCGTAAAAATGCCACACAAGTCTCTCATTCTGTTTCTCCACTCAGTTTTATCTTGTGCAGCCTTTTCTATATTAAGGATGGAATCCAGTCCAGCATCCCCGTGTGAGTTCCGGGGCCCTATTTTAGAGAAAACAAGAATAGACCCACTGCCTACCCAAAAGCATGTCGTAAGAGTCGACTGATTGGGAGCTTCCATCGGAGTGCATCTGCCTGAGAGGCAAGGAACCAGCAGTCTGCATACAAATTAGTCAAATGGATGCACACGCAACACTCAGGTTCTGGAACAGGACTGCAGTTCAGAAGTTGACGAACAACTAGAACTTTCTGCCAGAGTTTACAGCTGGTGAACACGAAGAAGAAGAAGAACTCCAGCACTTTTGACTTCTCTGACTGGTCCGAATTTGTGGAAAAATTTCTCTTGGGCGGCCTTGTTTTCCCAGTCAGTTTCTTTCCCATTTCTGTGTCTGTTTGATGATGTAATCTGTAATTCATCCTCTCCCCCCCCCCCCATCCCTAAACGGGACCAGGAATCCACACAGGGAGAGTATGGTTTGAAGGAAGCTCCCAGTTAGTCGACTATCATCAAGCCGTTTGCCCTGTGCTCTGAAGGTCGTGGGTTCATTACACAGTTGCATCGTTCAGTTCTTCTTCTTCTTCTTCTTCTTCACTTCCTCTTTTACCGCTGTGGGTGTCGAGGGAGATATACGGTTCTGTTTCTAGCTCTTCTGGCTGCCTCGACCTAGGCACATCGTGCTGTTGTAGAGTTTCTCTGATGTTATCCTTCCGTCTTGGTCTACCCCGTGCTCTACGTCCTTCTTCTCTTTCCATGTATGCTTTGTATGGTATGGTGTAATATGGCATTCTCTCTAAGTGGGCAAACCATTTCACTTGCTGTCTTCGTATGTAATCCAGAATTGGTTCTGTGCCGACTTGTTCTCTTATGATCTCATTCCTTGATCTTATCTCTTATGGTCACTCCTACAGCCTTCTCAGACATCTCATTTCCGTGGTTACTAATTTTCTTTTATGGTTTGTTGTGAGTGACCATGTCTGGCACTGGTAGCACAGAGTTGGAATAAATATGCTTGAATAAGATGTCTCTTTGTGCTGATTGGGGATTGTCTTATGCTGTAAGAGGGGGGGCTAGCTGTCCCAATACTTGGTTTGCTTTACTGCATATAATGTCAATTTCTTTATCCAATTTCCCATCTTCTGTAAATGTAGTTCCCAGATATTTAAACTCAGATGCCTGTTTAATGCCTTTGTATTCTATTGCTATGTTTAGATCTGTCTTCTTTTTTCCTATTGACATTACTTCTGTCTTTTCAGTGTTGATTGATTCTCATATTATTTGTTTTACATTCTTCATTCATGGATGTTAGATGTTGTTGCAATTTCATGGCTGTATCTGCTATCAAGGGCCTGGTCATCGCAAAGAGTAATTCGTTGATCTTACTAAGATCTTCATTCATGGGCTTGGCATTCTTGCATATACTGTCTATGTAGGTGATAAACAGCAGTGTGTGATAAAGACACACCCTGTCTTACTCCAGATGTCACTGTGAAAGGATGAGATGTTCCCTGATTTATTCTAACTACACTTCTACAATCCCTGTATAAACGTTTGCACACTTCGATGAGGTGTTCGCTTACTCCATATCTTGCCATTATTTTCCATAATAATTGTCTGTCGACTCTGTCAAATGCCTTCTCCTGGTCTACGAATGCCACAAATAAGTTCTTATTGTATTTCAATGTTCTTTTCTATTAACTGTTTAAGTGTGAAGATTGCATCTGTGCAGCACAGCTTCTATTTCTCCTAAATCCCATCTGTTCTTCTGCCAGCTGTGGTTCTATCACTGGTCTCAGTTTTGTTTCTAATATCTTGGCATACATTTTGCCAACATGGCTTAAAAGAGAGATGCCTCGATATTGACCGCATTCTCGTTTGCTTCCTTTGTTCTTCCACAATGGTATAACTATTGCATGTTGCCAATCAATAGGGGCCGTTTGTTATACCCATGCTGCATTGAATATTCTGTGAAGCCATCTGATGCTGCTTTCACCTGCTGCTTGAATTATTTCTTTTGGTAATCTATCAGCTCCTGGTGCTTTATATTTGGGAGACTGTTTAATGACTTTTTCTATTTCATCCATAAGTATGTGTGATTCTAACACTGTTGCTCTGTCCTCTTCAGTTGTTCTTTCCTGATGATCTCCTAGAGGATTAAAGAGCTCATTGAAGTATTCCCTCCATCTTTCTGCTATCTCAGGTGGATCTATCAATGGCCTTCCTGTCTTATCATTTATTATTTCAGTGGGGTTGTAGCTCTCATCTCTTTTCCGCGTATTTTTAACTACTTTGAAAAATTTTCTGCTGGCTGTTTTCTCATTTTCTGCTAGTGACTCACCGAAAAGTTCCCAGGATGCTTGTTTTGCTTTCTTGACACTCCTGTTGGTTTCTCTCCTTTGCAGTCTATAGTTTATATAATCTTCTTCTTTCTTTGATTTTATCCACTGTTTAAAAAAGTCTTTTTTCTTTTTTATTGCTTCTTTTACTTCTTCGCACCAAGGTGAATATTTTTTATTTCCCCGTCTGTTTCCACTCTTCCGTTTTCCACATAATTCTTCTGCAATACTAAGCATAGTGTTTTTATATATACTCCATTCTTCCTCAATATTGCCAACTACATGTGGAAGTTGTTTGAATGCTGTCTCTGCTTTCTGTTGTAACTATCGTTCAGTTAACGAGTACAATTTTTACGGATCCCTGGGGATCATTGCTGGAGCTACATAGTTTGTGCTCTGTGCAATGCTCTCCGCAAGCAGCTAGCCATTCTGCGGATAGAGACCGAGTAATATGGGATAGACTGGTGCAATGAAGTCAATTCTCTTGACTTAAAGATTTAAAAAAAAATTATAATAATAACGTGTCTGGCTGATTAGTCAGGCTGTTTATTTGGTGCTGTTGAAGTTGTGGGTTTATTTCACATGCAATTTGTATAGAGATCCCTGGGGATCATTACTGGAACTACAGAGTTCGTGCATTGTGACACTTTGAAGGTGATTGACCCTTCTTTGGAGAGAGACTGGATTATATGAATTCAAACCTGGTGCTGATTAATTCAATCCTCTTGACTTTAAACCTTCATTCCAGTGAATTTTATTGCAAAGGTGAATTGACACTGTTTGAAAACAGAGGGCCTCGTGTATTACATCACAGAATCAAGTGTGAAAATGGTTATGGAGGTAGTAATGGCAGGTTTCCGATGGCTTGAGAGCAGCACTGCCCGAGGTGATGTAATTGTAACGGACTTACCAAGCATGCATCAGAAAATTGCCATAGTAGAATGGATTGCATCGCTTGTTGACTCAGATCATGAGGATGTGATGCATTTTCTGTCCAAGACATTCATGAGTTCAGGTCAATGAGCAGGCTGATAGATTGGCTGCTGATGCTTCTCTGTGTGGTAAGCTGCTTGAGGATAAAACAGATATGGTGAAGGATTTCTGGCATCAGATGAATAGTACAATAGAATACATTGAAAAATATAAGTCAAAGAAAAGGGGGAGGGGGGAGTGAGTAGAGATTATGAAAGATACTGAACACTGAGGGGGGTGGGGGGTGAGTAGAGATTATGAAAGATACTGAACACTGAGGAAAGGGGATGTGGGGAAGGTATGGGCGAACTTTTATTATACAGGTCGCAACTGGTACTTTTGGTGTGTCAGTGTTTGTAGGCTACTCAGGAAGGAGAGGGAGCATGTGTGGGAATGTCCTGAGTGCAGTGATTGATTGATTCATTCATTCACCGGTCTACGCTAGCTTTTGTAAAGTTTAATAAGTAGACACCTGCAGTGTCTGCCAGAACCATATGATTATAATTTCAAACATTGTTTGCTCGAATACAGGAAATATGAATATGCAGCAAAAGGACACCCCTTAGTAAGTGTAGGACTGAGTATAACAAGACCATAACTGTCAAATAGCTTGGCATTTAATAATATAATTAACAAAACTCAATTAAATTATTAATTGGCAGAATAGATTTCAGAGTCATGATCGCCAACATCTGCTCCAAACCAAATATTTAAAGAAAAAGACAAAAAAAAGGGGGAAAGAGAAAAAGGAAGAAGAAGATAAAAGAGAAGAAGAAGAAGAAGAAAGATAATAATAATCCTCATCAGAAGATGAAGATGATGAAGAGGAGGAGGAGTGAAAGTGTACTGCATAACTAACGCTGTTCGTTTCCTTTTATGTTTCGTCTACTTTTTCTACATTTCAGATTTATTGTACAGATTCAATTTAATATTTGACTGTTGATAAAATGAAGCTGCGTCAGAGAATGCCTTCGTTAGATGTATGCCTTACTTGTATCAGTATTCTGCTGGCTTCTGGCTGTGTGGAGTGAGTATTTATGCAGTAGTAGTTATTGTCACACACACAAAAAAAAGGTATTGTCAAATAAACAAAAAATATTATATTTAACCTTCAAAGTTATAATTAGCATATAAAATGATCATTGACTTTCCAGTCTGTTTTTTTTTGCTATTTTATGTATTGTATAATTTACTCCACAGACATTTATGAAGTTTGTCTCATTATTATATGAAATATTGTACTTTAGGGTATTGATTATAACAGATATTGTACAATGAGTACTTAGATAACCCTAATAACATGATCTACAAATATTGAAGTCATAGTAAGAAAGTAAAGGACCCTCTTCCATGTCTTCAGGCATTTTGGGCATATAGGGCTGGACCTGTATTTTAAAGACCAATCAGCACTTGGTGTGTGATGTAGTCAGCATCATGCCAGCCGCCTTTACTTCCCTGGCTCACCTATTGTTACAGTATAATTATACATAGTTATAGGAAAGAGACATTTAGTATTCTTCGGTCATGTGATGTTTAGTTAGTTGAACAGGCATTAGAAAACATTGTGATGACCGGAAAGATCAACGGTGGCAGAGGCAGGGGCAGACCAAGTGATGGCATGGAGGGGGAATTGATGCAGAATACCAAAGACCAAGATCTGTGTAAAGACCTGGGTGCCTTTTCCACACATGATGATGACGATGATTGTTGCTGTAGGATAGATCACAAGTGTTTAGAATATGTTAAAAGCCTAATGCTTCAGTGACTGAATCTGATTTGGGTTTACCTATACCTTTAACATAACCAAACATGCAGTAAATTTATTTGTTGTAATTTTGTCTTGTCTCTTTTGCAGCTGTAAATGGTGCACCCGCATCACATCTGAAAAACACACTTTTACCACAACTGAACCTGGCCAATGCCTGAAGACATACGAGAGCTACTGTGGTTGGTTCACCTCTGAAAAATGTACCTTTTATGAGTAAGTCTTGCTGTTTTTGGTGTGTGCATCTTTTCGTTACATGCTTTTGTATTCATTGGTTACCCTCGACCTTATATACTTTTCTGGTCATCGTAAAATGGGTTACATTGCACCGATTCATCAGCCATGTGGTGCAATACATCCAGTTTTAAGGAGTATCTTTCAGTGTTTGCTTTCCAGAACCTTTGACAAGGCAGTGATATACAAGGGGGCTTCAAACGACAACTTTAAAAGTGTAATACAAATGACAATAACCTTGAAATTGTCTTGTAACTCTTCAGTATTTTGTTAGGGATGTCAAGAGTGTTAAGCATGTGATGAACACTGTGACATCAGTAATGACAGTTTAAAGATGGCCACCCCACTTTTGACATGCACCAAAATCGAGCAGCATTCTGTTATCTATTTTGTTAACCAATGAAATTCTACGCTCTAGAACAGGACACATTTGACTTAGCAGCCACATGTACACAAAATTCGAAATCGGCAAATCAGCCATGTGCACATGTGAATTGGCACCTGAGACAACAGATCATGTCCTCCAAGACTGTCCTAAATACAACATATCCAGGCTAAACTTTTGGCCAAGAGAAACATCAGTGCAAGCCAAACTTTACAGTTCGCTGAGTGAATTACAAAAGACAGTGAAGTTCATACTAGAGACAACATTGCAGATATAGATAATTTATTTCAAACGAATGAAAGAAGAAGAAGAAATCAGTGAAGGGGTGAAACCTATAGAAATTTAACGGCAATTGAAAGTCCAGTATGGTTATGTATGCCTGTCAGTCCAGCAAGTGTAAGAGTGTAGTAGGAAGATTCACTGTGACAAACTGTTCACGACTGGGTCAGGACACCGTAGATATAAGTGACAACAGATAAGCTGATATCAAGAAATGATTTTGTTGTTCCAAATGTCCAAAGCAACACGTTTGAGTTTGCACCTTTCATCATCTGGTCCCTGTCTCTTGAACTGTCCGTCATGGCAGGTTATGCAGGTGTACAGAGAAATGAGCAAGCTGAGAAGCTGGCTGGCACGTAAGACTGCTATGGATGGTGAATGAGCATTGCTGATAAACTGAATGCTCTACAAGAAGTAAGACTGCTATGCAGGGTGAATGAACATTGCTGATAAACTGAATGCTCTACAAGAAGTAAGACTGCTATGGATGGTGAATGAGCATTGCTGATAAACTGAATGCTCTACGAGAAGTAAGACTGCTATGGAGGGTGAATGAACATTGCTGATAAACTGAATGCTCTACGAGAAGTAAGACTGCTATGGAGGGTGAATGAACATTGCTGATAAACTGAATGCTCTACAAGAAGTAAGACTGCTATGGAGGGTGAATGAGCATTGCTGATAAACTGAATGCTCTACAAGAAGTAAGACTGCTATGGAGGGTGAATGAACATTGCTGATAAACTGAATGCTCTACAAGAAGTAAGATTGCTATGGAGGGTGAATGAGCATTGCTGATAAACTGAATGCTCTACAAGAAGTAAGACTGCTATGGAGGGTGAATGAGCATTGCTGATAAACTGAATGCTCTACAAGAAGTAAGACTGCTATGGAGGGTGAATGAGCATTGCTGATAAACTGAATGCTCTACAAGAAGTAAGACTGCTATGGAGGGTGAATGAGCATTGCTGATAAACGGAATGCTCTACAAGAAGTAAGACTGCTATGGAGGGTGAATGAACATTGCTGATAAACTGAATGCTCTACAAGAAGTAAGACTGCTATGAGGGTGAATGAGCATTGCTGATAAACTGAATGCTCTACAAGAAGTAAGACTGCTATGGAGGGTGAATGAGCATTGCTGATAAACTGAATGCTCTACAAGAAGTAAGACTGCTATGGAGGGTGAATGAGCATTGCTGATAAACTGAATGCTCTACAAGAAGTAAGACTGCTATGGAGGGTGAATGAGCATTGCTGATAACAAGACCTGAATGCTCTACAAGAAACATTGTAAGACTGCTATACAGGAGGGTGAATGGAACATTGCTGATAAACTGAATGCTCTACAAGAAGTAAGACTGCTATGGAGGGTGAAATGAACATTGCTGATAAACTGAATGCTCTACAAGAAAGTAAGACTGCTATGGAGGGTGAATGAACATTGCTGATAAACTGAATGCTCTACAAGAAGTAAGACTGCTATGGAGGGTGAATGAACATGCTGATAAACTGAATGCTCTACAAGAAGTAAGACTGCTATGGAGGGTGAATGAACATTGCTGATAAACTGAAATGCTCTACAAGAAGTAAGACTGCTATGGAGGGTGAATGAACATTGCTGATAAACTGAATGCTCTACAAGAAGTAAGACTGCTATGGAGGGTGAATGAACATTGCTGATAAACTGAATGCTCTACAAGAAGTAAGACTGCTATGGAGGGTGAATGAACTTGCTGATAAACTGAATGCCTCTACAAGAAGTAAGACTGCTATGGAGGGTGAATGAACATTGCTGATAAACTGAATGCTCTTTTTTTACTCTACAAGAAGTAAGGACTGCTATGGAGGGTGATGAACATTTGTGATAAACTGAATGCTCTACAAGAAGTAAGATGCTATGGAGGGTGAATGAGCATTGCTGATAAAATGAATGCTCTACAAGAAGTAAGACTGCTATGGAGGGTGAATGAGCATTGCTGATAAACTGAATGCTCTACAAGAAGTAAGACTGCTATGGAGGGTGAATGAGCATTGCTGATAAACTGAATGCTCTACAAGAAGTAAGACTGCTATGGAGGGTGAATGAGCATTGCTGAGCTGATCAACTGAATGCTCTACAAGAAGTAAGACTGCTATGGAGGGTGAATGAGCATTGCTGATCAACTGAATGCTCTACAAGAAGTAAGACTGCTATGGAGGGTGAATGAACATTGCTGATAAACTGAATGCTCTACAAGAAGTAAGACTGCTATGGAGGGTGAATGAACATTGCTGATAAACTGAATGCTCTACAAGAAGTAAGACTGCTATGGAGGGTGAATGAACATTGCTGATAAACTGAATGCTCTACAAGAAGTAAGACTGCTATGGAGGGTGAATGAGCATTGCTGATATACTGATAGCTCTACGAGAAGTAAGACTTCTTTGGATGGTGAATGAGCATTGCTGATAAACTGAATGCTCAACGAGAAGTAAGACTTCTATGGATGGTGAATGAGCATTGCTGATAAACTGAATGCTCAACGAGAAGTAAGACTGCTATGGAGGATGAATGAGCATTGCTGATATACTGAAGTAAGATTTTTTTTTTTTAAGAGCCTTGTTATGACTGTGAATTTGCAACTATAAGCAGACAGCAAAAACAGCAAGTTAAAAGAGTTGTCACCAGACATGTTTAAAATTTCTCCTGTTTTTTTTTAAAGTCGACTAAAAATGTAAAAATAAAAATTCAAATACATTCAATCTAATAGATGTTCCCCAATTTTGAACTGAAAAAATTTTGGAAAACATATCGTCTTACACACAAAAAATACAGTATTTTAAGTTTAAAAAAAAAAAAATTTTTCACATTGAAAGAAAAACAATGCAATACAGAGGTTCTAAAGACACTATAAATAAAAAAGAAGGTTGCTGAAGGACATTTAAAAAAAGAGAGACAAGTTAAACATTTAGGCTATATTAAAATACAAAACAAGAGATAATACCCTGCCAGTTAAGTTGTCATATTTAAACACTCTTTTAAACATATTTTTGACATTTTAAAAACTCATATGTGGGGTCTGGGACCCCATTGTTGGGGGGAAGGGGGGGGGAGTATGGATCCACTGCCTTCCATAAGCACCCTGCTGCTTTCTAAAAGCATTTTTTAAGAGTCAACTAATTAGGGATGATTCCTTCAAAGTCGGAGTGCATCTGCCTGAGAGGCTGGGAACTAACACTTGTGCATATAAATAAGACAGATCTGTAAAACATAAATATATATGCAAAACTCAGGTTCTGGATAACGACAATAAATAGTCCAGAAGTGGCAGATGAATGTGGAGAAAAAGAAAAAGAAGACGTTTCAAAACTTTTTCTCTAATGGTATGTTCTATGACTTTCAGAATGGCTCCATGTTTTAAAGAGCTGAACCACACAGTGGTGGTGTACAAAGTGGTGGAGGAGTGCTGTCCTGGTTATCAGCTGGATCCTGCCAAAAATGATACCTGTATAGTCAAACCAGGTAGGAGGTTTCCATCATAGAAATTTACTTCACTGTAGAAAATAGCAGCTTTGTCATTGGCGTTTTAGGTATTTGGTGCTAGACCAGTGGTTCTCTACCTTCCTAATGCTATGATTGTGACCGGTACCATCAGTATAGGGATTCTGTGCTGGCTGCTGAAGATGAGGACGGAGCATACATGGGAATGCCCCAAGTGCTGTGATGTCAACTCTTGACTCAGCTCAGCTCCTAATGCTGCGACCCTTTACTACACTTCCTCATGTTGTGGTGACCCCCAACCATAAAATTGTTTTCGTTGCCACTTCAGTGAATATGTGTTTTCCTATGGTCTTGGGCAACTCCTGTAAAAGAGTCGTTTCACCCCCTAAGGGGTCATGACCCACAGGTTGAGAACCGCTGTGCTAGACTGATAGATAAATTCGTAGTCACTATGGTGATGTAGTCCACCTATTGTTGCCCTCTTTACCTCCAAGCAAATTTACTTGTACCCATTTTAGGTCAGGTCACCATGAAAGCCAGCAATAAAAAAAAAATTGCAGTTTTATGAGTCAGACCCAAGACCTATGAACCTGCAGACAGATGTCTAGCCGCTGTGCCACCGTGGCTACCCTATACTTAGCATCATCAGGACTTTTTCTGGTGGTTTGCAATGGTTCACAGTACCTGCACCTTTTTAGGGCTCCCCTTTTTTTATCACTACTGTAATAGATACTTTTGGTGAGTACTGATCCCACCCTAGAAAGAATAAGACTACCCAGAATATTAACCATCAGCACTTTTTATCTACCCTCATGTCACAGTAACAGAAGACACCTTTTCCGTACGCCAGCTACATAATAGACAGTGGTGAGTGCTGGCACCTTTTTAAGGCACTTTGGAGTGAGTACTGGCACCATTTTATCCAGAAGGAAAAGCCCTACTTAATAGTATTGAACACTGTTTACTGTTTGGTGCCGCATTAGCGCAGTCAATAGGAGATTCACTTTCAAATCCAGCTGCGACTCGCTGCAGCCTACAGCCGGTGTTCAAAATCGGGCGGTTTTTGGGGTTCACCCAGCCTCTAGGTAATGGATACCAGAGTTAACACTCTGGGATAAATGGAGGAACATCGCTGTAGCTACGGAGTTGAGTGCGGACGGCGACACCTAAAGACAATTTCTTATCAGCTGTCCGTATTGGTGGCAGAGCACTTATGGTTTATAACTGTGTGCAATGACCCCGGTTCATATCTCTCAACTTTACATTTTACCTTTACTGTTTAATGTATTGCAAAAAAAAAAAGATATATAAAAAAAAATGTGTCGTCTCCACAATGACAGTTGGCTGTAGTTCGCCCGCTGACTTCTTTGGGAATAATATGTGGTAAGGCCTTAGTCTCTTCCAGCAATTATTAAAATCAGTATTATACTTTATATAATTATGCTTAATGTCATACTTCTTCCTGTCACATGCTGTCAGACAGTGAGTCAAGTTTGGATAAGGTAACTAATGACAGTAGTACTGTGACCTTCATTAAGTTGTATCCATTTGATGAGATCGGTAATCTAACCAATGAAGTTGGTAATCTCACCAGAAAACGTGTCCATAAAAATAAAGGTATTGTTTAGATTTAACTCTCTCTTTGTGGTGTAAAAATGTCTGTTTGAGTACCTGTGTAAATGTCCGGAGAGTCACACAAATATAGAGGCTAGATACTTACCTGCCTGCCCACCTGAAGGTGGAGGGTTCAAATCCACATCAAGACAGATTTCTTTTGAAATTAACCTTGGTTCCCATATCAGCCTAGCCTCAGTAAGTACCAGGTTATCTCCTGGGAAGTAAAGGTGGGCAGCCATTTTTTTTAGACAACATCAACTGTCAAACGAGAAGACACTTTTTCTTTCCATTTTTTGGGAAGAAAGGGAACTGGTTACCTGACCAGATATGTCATGGGCTAGAATATATAATGGCCGAACATGTCACACTCTGACAACAGTTTTCACATTCCGCCAGCAGTTACTGCTATGGGACTAGTTTTGTCATTGATTTATCTGTGTTTCATTTGCGTAATTTTTCATGGATGTATCAGTATTTCCTTTTCATAATTTATCATTGATGTATCAGTATTTCCTTTTCATAATTTATCATTGATGTATCAGTATTTCCTTTGCATAATTTATCATTTATGTATCAGTATTTCCTTTGCATAATTTATCATTGATGTATCAGTATTTCCTTTTCATAATTTATCATTGATGTATCAGTATTTTGTTAGCGTAATTTGAAGTTGATATATTAGTATTTCCTTTGCATCATTTATCATTAATCAATTAGTATTTCCTAAAGAAAGAAAAAACGTCTGGGGAAGGAAATTGAAAAATGAGTTGAAAAATATTGGGAGGACATAGGGTGAATTTCATGCAATAGCACAGGATAAGACGACTTGGTGCAAGTTGGTTCAGGGTCTTTCCTTCAGTGGGGGTCAAAGACAGAAGACGACGAGATGTGTCAAGGAAAGGCATGGTATTTCCTGTAATTTGTCACATCTTGTTGATTACTTCAGTCAGGTTTTTAATTCTATTTAGTATTTCAGTTTGATCTATAGTGTTTCATCAGTCTTAGGTGTTTGTTACTTTGTGTAGCACTTTAGATTGTGTATGTGTAGCTCTTAAGATTGTGTATGTGTAGCACTTAAGATTGTGTATGTGTAGCACTTAAGATTAATTAGCTTTTCCATGTATGTAGTTTATCGGCTTGTGTAAAACTTCAGGGTGGGCATTTTTTTAGTGTATATTATTTCCGTATATGTAGTATTTCAATGTTGTATTTAATTCTGTGTAGTATTTCAGTCTGTATTTTATCTCAGTGTAGTATTTCCACCTATGTGTGTTATTTTAACTTCAGGTGTAAAATTAGCACCTGTGAACTGAGATACCTGAGAAAAGCCAGGAAGTTAACAATCTGAGAAAATGTTAGAAATGATATTAAGACTTAACAATCTGAGGAAAATGTTAGAAATGATATTAAGACTTAACAATCTGAGAAAATGTTAGAAATGATATTAAGACTTAACAATCTGAGAAAATGTTAGAAATGATATTAAGACTTAACAATCTGAGAAAATGTTAGAAATGATATTAAGACTTGACAATCTGAGAAAATGTTAGAAATGATATTAAGACTTGACAATCTGAGAAAATGTTAGAAATGATATTAAGATTTAACAATCTGAGAAAATGTTAGAAATGATATTAAGACTTGACAATCTGAGGAAATGTTAGAAATGATATTAAGACTTGACAATCTGAGAAAATGTTAGAAATGATATTAAGATTTAACAATCTGAGAAAATGTTAGAAATGATATTAAGACTTGACAATCTGAGGAAATGTTAGAAATGATATTAAGACTTGACAATCTGAGGAAATGTTAGAAATGATATTAAGACTTGACAATCTGAGGAAATGTTAGAAATGATATTAAGACTTAACAATCTGAGAAAATGTTAGAAATGATATTAAGACTTAACAATCTGAGAAAATGTTAGAAATGATATTAAGACTTAACAATCTGAGAAAATGTTAGAAATGATATTGAGACTTAACAATCTGAGAAAATGTTAGAAATGATATTAAGACTTAACAATCTGAGAAAATGTTAGAAATGATATTAAGACTTAACAATCTGAGAAAATGTTAGAAATGATATTAAGACTTAACAATCTGAGAAAATGTTAGAAATGATATTAAGACTTAACAATCTGAGAAAATGTTAGAAATGATATTAAGACTTAACAATCTGAGGAAATGTTAGAAATGATATTGAGACTTAACAATCTGAGGAAATGTTAGAAATGATATTAAGACTTAACAATCTGAGAAAATGTTAGAAACGATATTGAGACTTAACAATCTGAGGAAATGTTAGAAATGATATTAAGACTTAACAATCTGAGGAAAATGTTAGAAATGATATTGAGACAAGACTAGGAACAACACCATGCAACAAATTCATTGAGAAACAAAAGATTAAAGGGTTTGTCCATCTAGTAAGAATGCACCCATAACAACTACTAATGCAAGTGCTACACATGAAAAGATTTGATGTGAAAGAGGTCACCCTAGGAGATATGGATTGATGACATTAAAAACCTTCTGCATTGACAAGAAATGACAGTTGTCTGTGTATTATTTTAGTGAATATTTTAATCTGTATTATGTCATCCTCTTCTTCTTCTTTGTTGACCGGCTGTAAGCTCCAGCGGAAACTCCTGGCTGTTCGTCCACTTGGACTTTGGCTTTATGTTAGGTCACAAGTTCTGCATCTGCTTCACTGGCTTATTTGTGTGCAGTTGGCTGTTACTTGCCACTCAGATACAGATGCACTTTGACTTCGAAGGAAGGCCCCAAATTAGTGGACTCCTATGACATGCTTGTGGGGAGGCAGTTGTTCTCTTCATGTTTCCCTCACAGTGAGGTAAAGACAGTGGGACCCCAAAACCCACACAGGGCATTTATGTCATCCAGTATGTGGTATTTCAGTCTATTTATTCAGAAAGCAATGGCAAACTATTTAACGTAAAATTTGCCTAGAAAAACCTCAGCAGCCAACAAACGCTGTGGTTGGTTTCGCAATGTCCTGTAAAGAATACGCAACTTATATCAGTCTGTATATTAGTAAATGACATCTTGTCTCCGAACTGAAACATTTTGGCCATATCAAGCGCCGTGGTGAATTGGAAAAATAATAGCAGAAAGCATGGTGCCAGGAAAGAGGGGCAGGGGCTGACCAGGATGAAGATGGGTGCAGGATGTGTAACATCTTGAGGAGGAAAGTGCACGAGGTTGGAGAGCTGGCAAGAGAGACAAATTTCTTTCAGGCAGAGCTTGATGAGAGTGACGTTCTGCAAAAGACTTGATGCATGATGATGATTTAATAAGCAGTTGGCTGTTGCTTCAACCAGTGGAAGCCATAGTAAATCACTGATTGTTTTTTTTTGAAAAACCCAATCTTGTGTAAACAAAAAGATTTAGTTGTAAGCTCGCATCCACCTTAATAAACTGGATAGTTCTTTATAATTGTGATTGTGCTTGTACTTCAGTTCAAAGGATTCATTTATTGGCTTCATTTCATTTAGTTATGTTGTTTATTTAATTCTGACAAAATACTGTGAAAAATGCCAGGCAGGTTATTGTTTGTATTTTCTGTGTCCAAATTTACAATGGAATAGCATGGCTTTGATATTTTTCTGTTCCCCCCCCCCCCCCCCCCCCCAAACAATTGCCATCGATGGACTCCCATAGATTATAAAATGAGGAGGAGCGGCTGGCTGAATGGTTAGAATGCTGGCCTCTCATGAAGGAGACCTAGGTTCAAATCCCCAGTAAGGTTTTGGATTTTTTTTTTGGGGGTACACCTACAAAAATCCTCACCTGCACAGTCTGTCATAGCAACAGCACTAGCCATGTGGCCCTAAATCCTCAGGTTCAAAGACACCCCCTGCCTACACTGCAAAACATTGTATAATAAAGGCAGAAATAGCAGTTTTTTGGCAGATTATAAAATCTAAATCTGGATATCAAATCAATAAGGCCAAGCCTAGAAACCCTGTTCAGCCTCTAAAGAAGTGATGATTGGGGCACCCATAACATCTATACTAGCCTGGTTAACCTGCAGTCCTGTGCAGATAAAGACTAGCCTGGTTAACCTGCAGTCCTGTGCAGGTAAAGACTAGCCTGGTTACCCTGCAGTCCTGTGCAGGTAAAGACTAGCCTGGTTACCCTGCAGTCCTGTGCAGGTAAACACTAGCCTGGTTACCCTGCAGTATTGTGCAGGTAAAGACTAGCCTGGTTAACCTGCAGTCCTGTGGAGGTAAAGACTAGCCTGGTTAACCTGTGGTCCTGTGCAGGTAAAGACTAGCCTGGTTAACCTGCAGTCCTGTGCAGGTAAAGACTAGCCTGGTTAACCTGCAGTCCTGTGCAGGTAAAGACTAGCCTGGTTAACCTGCAGTCTTGTGCAGGTAAAGACTAGCCTAGTTATAGTGCAGTCCTGTGCAGGTAAAGACTAGCCTGGTTAACCTGCAGTCCTGTGCAGGTAAAGACTAGCCTGGTTAACCTGCAGTCCTGTGCAGGTAAAGACTAGCCTGGTTAACCTGCAGTCTTGTGCAGGTAAAGACTAGCCTAGTTATAGTGCAGTCCTGTGCAGGTAAAGACTAGCCTGGTTAACCTGCAGTCCTGTGCAGGTAAAGACTAGCCTGGTTACCCTGCAGTCTTGTGCAGGTAAAGACTAGCCTGGTTAACGTGCAGTCCTGTGCAGGTTAAGACTAGCCTGGTTAACCTGCAGTCCTGTGCAGGTAAAGACTAGCCTGGTTACCCTGCAGTCCTGTGCAGGTAAAGACTAACCTGGTTAACCTGCAGTCCTGTGGAGGTAAAGACTAGCCTGGTTACCCTGCAGTCCTGTGGAGGTAAAGACTAGCCTGGTTAACCTGCAGTCCTGTGCAGGTAAAGACTAGCCTGGTTAACCTGCAGTCCTGTGCAGGTAAAGACTAGCCTGGTTACCCTGCAGTCCTGTGGAGGTAAAGACTAGCCTGGTTACCCTGCAGTCCTGTGCAGGTAAAGACTAGCCTGGTTACCCTGCAGTCCTGTGCAGGTAAAGACTAGCCTGGTTACCCTGCAGTCCTGTGGAGGTAAAGACTAGCCTGGTTAACCTGCAGTCCTGTGCAGGTAAAGACTAGCCTAGTTAACCTGCAGTCCTGTGCAGGTAAAGACTAGCCTAGTTAACCGGCAGTCCTGTACAGGTAAAGACTAAGTTACTGTAGTTAATTCTGTTCATAAATGAGATGATCTTCTTCTTTTTCTTCACGTTCACCGGCTGTAAACTGTGATGGAAAGTTCTGTTGTTCTTCCACTTTGGGGCTTTTATCTTGTTCCAGAACTTGAATTTATGTGCACATCCATTTGACATGTTTGGCTTAATTGTATGCAGACTGTTGGTTCATTCCCTCTCAATTTAGAAGCACTCCTACTTTGAAGGAAACCCTCGCGCTCTGAAGGTCATGAGTTTGTTTCACGGATGTGCCCTTCAGTTCACGAGTGCAATTTTAATGGAAATCCCTGGGAATCGTCTCAGAGCTACAGAGTTTGTGCTCTCTGGGCACTTTTGGCAGACTGCTAGCCAAATGGGATAAAACCCAGTGCAGTGAAGTCAGTTCTCTCGACTTTAACCTTTGAACTCGACTTGTTGGGGAGGCAGCAGGTCTCTTCTTTTGTCCCCTCTACAGTGGGGTCCTGGAACCCACACGCTGGGGTCCTGGAACCCACACAGTGGGGTCCTGGAACCCACACAGTGGGGTCCTGGAACCCACACAGTGGGGTCCTGGAACCCACACAGTGGGGTCCTGGAACTCACACAGTGGGGTCCTGGAACCCACACAGTGGGGTCCTGGAACTCACACAGTGGGGTCCTGGAACCCACACAGTGGGGTCCTGGAACTCACACAGTGGGGTCCTGGAACCCACACAGTGGGGTCCTGGAACCCACACAGTGGGGTCCTGGAACCCACACAGTGGGGTCCTGGAACTCACACAGTGGGGTCCTGGAACCCACACAGTGGGGTCCTGGAACCCACACAGTGGGGTCCTGGAACCCACACAGTGGGGTCCTGGAACCCACACAGTGAATAAATGAGATAATTGTATGTGTGTTCCTTCTGGAGTGTAAATACATACTTTTTCTAATCATCCTTGAGGGCATCGACAAAACTACACAGTTCAGTATTACAAATCTCAGAATGACTTGCTGTTTGGTCTCTCACAAGGAGCATATGCTGGCATCATCTGTGCATTCTTGTTCATTTGCTGCGTTATCATTCTGATTACAGTGCGCGCAGTCAAAAGGTGGGTAAAAATAACATCTAGTGATTTGTAATAATTTTTTTAAGCATTTCAATCCCTGACCTTTTTCATTCATTCATATTCCTAATATGCCTTTATATGTCACAAAGGGCGGTGCTTTGTTAATATCCTACCTCAGATGACGTCACAGGATAGTCCAACATTTTACAGGGTGGTAAGACTGGGTTTCCCAGCTTTCTGATGCTTTTAAAGACCCAAAAACATCTAGAACTGGCTCTGACCCCAACCCACCCACTTCCCACGAGAGAGTGCAGCCTAGGTCCCATGACTGCATGCAGCGTAGGTCCCATGACTGCATGCAGCGTAGGTCCCATGACTGCATGCAGCGTAGGTCCCATTACTGCATGCAGCCTAGGTCCCATTACTGCGTGCAGCCTAGGTCCCATTACTGCATGCAGCGTAGGTCCCATTACTGCATGCAGCCTATTTACCACCCCCCTGAAGTATTAGAATGTAGATTTCCTCTGTTTGGGGTAGGGTATTAATAAAGCACCCAAAGGGCTTTTTCTCCATTCCATTCTGACCTGTGCAAACACTTCGAAATCATGGATGGAATCCTGTCCAGCAGCTATGGCTTCTGTCATCAACCTTCGCCACAGGGTTTCTCTTAAATGTCCTCGTTTCTTCTGTCCCTGTCGTTCCCATTTAGGTGCCTGGGTGATAACCCCTAGCAATTGCTACTTTAATAATATAACAAATACTACCTGCCACAGGGTCCAGTCAGAGGCTGTATATAGAAAGCTGTTCCTAAATTCACACTACATGTCTTATTTAAAGTTAGTTGTGTATCCTTTACAGGACATTGCGGAACCAACCCCAGCATTTTTTGGGCTGTTGTGGTTTTTCTAGGCAAATTTTCATCCAGTAGTTTGCCATTGCTTTCTGGATGGTCAGCTGTCAAAACCAGCGCAAGGCCCGAAGCTGGGATCGAACCCGGCACCCCGGCATTACAAAGCTTGTCCGCAATGCCTAAGCCACTGACACCGACTGTATACAGAAAGCTGTCCCTAAATTCTTCTTAATACATGCCTTATTAGTCTTTCCTCTTGTGTCGAGTGCGGCACATAGGGCAGAGGTCATGACTCTCCATGCATGGCGGTTCGTTGCAATCTGTTGTAGGTCTTGGATGTTTGAGTGGCCCATGAGTGAGCCTTCCCTGATGATAGTTCTACATAGGGTTTCCCTTGGTCTTCCACAAGATCTTTTCCCCTGTGGTGTCCAAATGAGGGCTTGGTAAGGAAGTCTTGATTTATCCATTCTAAGGACATGGCCGACATAGTTCCAGCGGCGTTTTCGTATAAAATTAGACACATACTCTTGCCTGGATTCTTGCCTTATTTGTGTATTTGTTCGGAAATCTGACCATTTGAAATTTAGTATTCTTCTAAGGCATTTATTTTCAAAACTCTAATTTTGTGTCTAGAGTTTTCGTTGATTTCCAGCTCTCGCATCCATAGGTTAGTACTGGAATCACACAAGAATTGAAGATCTTGAGTTTTGTGTGTTTGCTAAGTGTCTTTGATTTCCAGATGTTGGACAGTTTATTGAAGGCACTTGATGCCAGTGCTATTCTAAATGGTATTTCTGGTGCGGTATCTCCTGTAGATGACATCTTGCTCCCTAGATAAGTGAAACTGTTGACCTTTTCAAGGCTGTTGTTGTTCAGCGTGATATCAACTGAACTGTTGGTAAGGTCTAGAATTTTTGTTTTTGCGGTGTGGAGTCCAATTTGTTCTGAGAAATTCTGGAGTCGATTGATTTTTTGTCTGGGCGTCTGTGTGTTCTGAACTCAGGAGTGCTATGTCGTCGGCCAAGTCTAGGTACTTGCCTTATAGGGTGACTGAAAAGAGAGAAAGAAGGTAAGGCAAAAATTGGGGGGGGGGGGGGGGCAGAAAAGAAAAAGAAACAAAGACAGAAAACAGGAAAAAATAAAGAAAGGAACTAAAAGATGAAATGATCAGAGAAAGAAACAAAAAGTGGAAATTAGCTGCAAAAAAAAAGAAGAAATGCGTAAGCACACAAAAATATTTTTATTTTTAATTTTGTTGTACAAGTCTCAGAAATTATGAAGTAACAAAGGAAAAGAAAATGAGAAATTCTTGCAAAAGTATCTGTTCTGTATTAGTGTTTATGTTTGACTCTGTTACAGAAATCTCCGGAATTCTGCAGCCAAATCAGACACGGGAATGGAGCAAGAAATGGTTGAAAAAATGATCCCAGCAACACCCCACACATAAAGAAGAACCTGTCGTGTAGCATGTTGTTTACTTTCACACCAGACTTTGAGACAATCTCCTGCTAACTCGTGAAATCTGTCCCTCCATAGCTGGTCCTGAGTTTCACTGGGAAGGTCAAGAGTAGTGAGCATACTTTAGATCTTTTCTCCAGGCCATGCCGGCGTATTAATGTACAGGCAGACAGATTGGGTGGATCTGCACCACTGGGTGGTGAATGGATACATGACAAGGCAGTTGTGGTCAAGGCCTGTTGGGAACAGACCACCAAATCAGCAGAGAAACAAGATTATTATGGCCTGGAGAAAATGAGGTACCTGGGGGTAACCAGAGGGTCTGGCCGGCTCACTACACTCAGAGGAAAGGTAAGACGGACATATAACCAGATTGTTAGTATTGGAACTCTGCGCTGGCTGCTGAAGATGAGGATGGAGCACGCATGGGAATGCCCTGAGTGCTGTCATGTCAATTCTTGACACAACTCAACTGGTCCTGAGTTTCACTGGTACAGGACCCCTTGTGACGCATCAGGTATGTGAAGATACTCACTTTTATAGCCCAGTCTGCACTTAATGAGTGATGTGGTCAGTATTACCTCAGCCGCATTTACTTCCCAGGACATTACCTAGCTACCAAATTTAGACTGTGTTTAGACTTGGGAGCCAAGGTCAGTTTTGAAGAAATACAATTATTCAACTCAGTGAAGATTCAAACCTAGGACCTTTGAGCTGACAGGCGAGTTTTCAGCCACCACGCTACTGTAGTTGCCTTGATCACAAAACAAGTTACTTGGGTTATGAGTAAAGAACTGACAATCAGCACTTGGGAATGCATAGAGAAAATGTCCAAAGGATGCTAACTATCCAGGATGCTAACTTTGAAGCGATGTTTGCCACAGAGCTTACCTGTTTCAAACGTGCTTTGAGTCATTTACAGTTACAACATGTGCGTGCAGCTGGTTGTGTGCAGTGATTGCCTCCACCTCCATTCTCAAATTAACTGTTGTAGTATCATAGGCTAGGCTTTGTTGCATGAGGCTACCTCCATTGGCTTTTGCTGTGAAGCCTCTAGTGCACTTCTGCCTTTCAAGTCACAGCTATCTGTATGAGTAAGCTAGGCAAGAATTGTTGTGAATCATTTGTTGAACTTCTGATTCTGCTGTGCCTACTGGCCAGTGCCTACACTCAGCCTAATGTGATTAGAGCCCTACACAAAGCTGGTTGTTACTTAGACACTTTGACCCATTCCTCTCCTTCCCCAGTCTTCTCAAGCATGCACAAATATCTCATAGTGTCTTCAGCTTGCACCATCCAAGACCTTTCTCTTTTTAATAAGTGATCTTTAGCGCTATCTAGGGCTTCGTACAAGAGGTGTTTCTTGTCTGCGGCTACTCTGAGATACGACTTTGCTTGCATGACTTCAAGCCTATCTGTAATAGTCGACAGTGCAAGTATATATCTCATGCATCTAGTCAGGTATCTTTTGCACATCCCAGAATTACCCTCATGGCTTCACTCTGTGTGGGTTCAAGTTTTATCAGCTGACTCTCAGATAGAGAGAACATACTGAGTCCATAATCTATCACTGAGAGGATAATGTACTGGAACATTGTGAACAGCATTCTTTGTCCCACAAGCACTGCTGCCATAATCTTGAACGCATTGTGTCCTTTTCTGGCATTTTGCTCCAAATGCCTCCACATGACCCATCATGGAGAAACTTGAGCTAGGAGAGAGGAACAATAATGGAGAAAGGCTGACCGACGTCTTCTCACCACCACAGTCTGTCATTAATGGAACAGTCTTCATGCATAAAGATATCCACAAGTATACACGGACATCACCTAATGGCAACACGAGGAACCCAATTGACCACATATTGTACAATAAGAAGTGGAGGACCTGGATACAGGATATATTTGCTAGAAGAAAACCTGACGCTGGGAGCAACCACAACATAATGAATTGTAGATTGAAAAGTAGCAAGAAAAAGACTGTAAGCCCACTATTTTATTCAGCCCAGATCAGGACATTAAAAGCCAAAGAAGATTTTTGCATAGAACTAAGAAACCAGTTTGAGGTGTTTAACCACTTCCAGAGACAGCAAACTTTGAAGAAGAATGGGTACAGTTTAAAGATGCATATTGCAGTACAGCCCAGAAAATACTCGGTATGAAGAAACATGTGAGACAGGAATGGATATCTAAAGAATCTTGGTCAAAGATAGAAGAAAGAAAAATGTAAAACCAGCAAACAAATCTTGCAATCTTGCAAAGAGCACATTGGAAAAGATGGCCGCACAAAAAGCATATAACACCAAACATGAAGAAGAAAAGAAAAGTTTAAAGAAAGACAAAAATAAATACTTGGAACTCAAAACTGCAATGATACTAGAACATTGTATAAAATAACAAAGGATCTTAGCTGGAAACATTTTAGCTTCAATGAAGGAAACCTGAAAGAGACAAAACAGGAGAAATAATCACAATGGAAAGATAAAAGGCTGACAGATGGCAAGAATATTTTACGAAGCTGCTAAAAAAAGCCAGCATCAGATATCCCAGTGGAAACAGTAGAAAACTGGCTAACTCCTAGAAATGGATATTGGGCCAGTCAGCGTTAGAGGAATAGAAAAGGCAATAAGCAGTATGAAAAATTGGAAGGCATCGTGAAGATAAAATTAGTGCTGACATGTTAAAGGCAAAACCCACAATTTACAGAAAAAGCATTACATGGAATATTTAACCAAATATGGATAAATGAAGTGGTGCCAACAGACTGGAAAATGGTGTAATCATCCCACTACCGAAAAAAGATGATCTCCTACACTGCAACAACTGGAGAGGATTAACGTTACTGTCCGTACCTGGAAAGGCCCTCTGTAGGGTGAGATACAACAGAATAAAGACGTCAACAGACAGAGTTTTGTCGGAAGATCAGGTAGGATTCAGAAAAGGAAGAAACTGCTGTGATCATATTTTCACTCTCAGAAATATTGTGGAACAAGCTCTAAATTGGAATGCCACATTATTTATAAACTTTATAAACTTTGAAAAGGCATTTGACAAACTAGATAGAACAGTGATGTGGAGGATCCTTCCTGCATATGGTTTACCAGATAAAGTTATAAACATATTTAAAGGACTATGAAGGATACCAATGAAAAGTTAAAGTAGGACTGATGGAAGCAATACTTCAGGGTAACATCAGGTCTGACAAGGGTACATTCTGTCACCTTTCTTGTTTCTCATAGTGATAGATTATGTTATGAAGAAAGCAACCACAGGCACATGAAACATTTGGACTTTGCAAGTGACATCTGTGACATCAGCAACAGTAAAGAACATCTGCAACAAAAGACAGATAAGATTACAGAAAAAGCAAAACAGATTGGGTTAAGAATCAGTGTCAATAAAACAAAACTGCTGGAGACAAACCCCCAAAAGTGAAAGACCTATAGTAATAGATAATGTAGTTTTGGAAACAGTAACTGACTTCACTAACCTTTGGATGGAAATCTAGTGGTTGAAATCAAGCAGAAAATTGCAAACGCAAATGCTGCTTACAACAGAGTGTCTGGAGATCAAACATCTGCAGCAGTAAATCTAACTAAACTCAGGATATACAAAACATGCGTTAGGACAGTTCTCCTGTATGAAACAGAAACTTTGGAAACAGACAGAAAGATAGAGAGAGCATGCTCAGAGATTTTGAGTGAAGACTTCTCAGAAGATCGTTGTGGTTCACATAGGAAGATAAAAGCAGCAATTCTAGAGTACAGCAAATGACAGACTTAGAAGATGTAAATTTAGAAATAAAGAAATGAAGAGAGATGGCCAAGACAGGCAATGCAATAGACACCACAAGGACAGCGAAAAAGAGGCAGGCCCAGAGGTGAACCTTTGAGGCTGAACTCAAGGCTAAGCGAAGGACAAAACTGGAGATAGAGAGGATTTCTCTAGATCGAATTGAGTGGTGACGGTTTGTCTCTGCCTTATGTGCCTCTGGGCACGATGAGGATTGATTGATTGCCTCCACATGATCCCTGAAGGAGAGCCTTCAGTTGAAAGTGGTAGCCAGGTACTCAGTTTTTCTCTCTTTCTCTCTTTTTTTTTTTTCTTCCTCAAAAAGTGACTTTAAATTTGTAAGATTTGACCATGATGGAGTGAAATTTTACAAATCGTACATGGATTAGCTCCCTCAGGGGTATACATTTTAACTTTCTGTCCCAGAAAGTTTGACGACAAATGTAAAACATGAAATGAAGGAGGGAGAAATATCTGCTTTAAAATTTGTTTCAAAATTAAGCATTGGCATAAACAGCAAAAGAAGAATGATGATCAGTCTGTATGTGTTTTTATGAATGTGTGCTTTTTTTTTTTTTTTTTTTTAAATGAATGTATTTACACATGTGAATTTTTGATTAATGCACTTATCTGTGATAATGTCAACATTTGTGACATTGTGAACAATATGCGTGTGAAGACTTGCTGTTGGTTACAGCAAAAGATATATTTTGAGTTGTTAGATAATGTATGTCAACAATTTCTGTAACACTGTTTGAAACAAAAACAAACAAAAAATATAAAAAAATACAAAAAAGAAGCATGCAACAGTTTCTTCCAAAGCCAAGGATGAATAGCATGTTTAATTGATGCACCAAAGTGATGAAAAACATGCGAGGCATTTGTTTGTTGCACCAAAGTTGAGGAATAAATGGCACAGTGCCACGCAATGTATATGAGATTTGATTTGTTAGTTTTTTCCTTTCTTGTGCTTATGTGCGTCTCCGTGATGAAGGACTCTGGAGATCATGGGTTCACTTCTGGATTCACAAGTGCAAATTTTTCTAAACTTCCTGGGGATCATAACTGGAATTAATGCTCTATGACAGTGTTTTCCAAACTGTTATTAGTCATGGCACCACTGTGAAGAGGTCGTAGCTCCCTGGGGCGCCGCAGCGCAGTTTGGGAATCACTGTCCTATGAGATGCTGCTCTGTAAA